CTGCTGCTGCTGCTGCTGTTGTTGTTGCAGGTTAGGAAGATTATTCTGCTGGCTCAACAATCTCTGCTGCTGCTGTTGCTGGAGATCACTGATGTTTTGTTGTCCCAATAATTGATTGTGCTGCATACTTGAAGCATTTGCCTGTTGCCCCATTAGATGCGGCTGTTGTTGCTGGGGCATCATTGATTGCTGTGCCACTGTTGCTTGTTGTTGATGAATACCAGCACCTTGTTGTGGCTGTTGCTGCTGCCTGAGGACAGCTTGTGGATGCTTCTGAAGCATTGATTGTGTTGAGGATTGAACTGAAGATTGCTGACTCTGTTGAAGACTTGAGAGAGGAGTCGATTGCATAGAAGATGGTTGCATAATAGATGATGTTTGCATACCAGATTGTTGAGAAGATTGCAATTGTGTTGGTTGCAATAGGTTTTGCTGCTGCTGCTGTTGCTGTATATGAGACTGCATGAGTGAATGTTGGAGATTTCCCTGCTGCAACTTTGGCTTTAGAAGGTGTTGCTGTTGAAACTGCTGTTGATGAAACTGCTGTTGATGCTGTTGATAAAGCAACTGCTGTGGATTTTGGGACTGTTGCTGCTGCTGTTGCTGTGGGGTAAGCACCTGGTGCCTTCCTTGCATCTGTCTCTGTGAATTGGCAAACATATTCGAAGGCATGCCTTGCCCCATTGCATTACCAACTGTGTTTGAAATGCCAGATACATTTGGCAAGTTAGAATTCTGGCCAACATTTGGGATTGGATTCTGGGTTAAACCAGAAACAGACGGTAGTGCTGAAGGTAAACCAGCAGAACTTTGAACTCCAGTTGATGCAATGTTATTTGGAATGTTCTGGGACAGCAGTTGTTGGCGTGTTTGGGACTGATTACCTGGTAATGTGATAGTTTGCCCTTGACTATAAACTTGGGACTGCATGCTCTGAGAACCTATCCATTTTATTAAGAAAAAACAAACAAGAAAAAACAACCACTAATCAATAAATATAGGTTTCCAAACACCAGAGGAAACAAATCATTTCTATTCAAAACTTTAAAGTTAATCCTAACTTCCATAGAAACAAAAACGAAGAGGCCTTTCAACCCAATCACCAGATTAAAAATATAAATGAATAAAAAAGCTTCCCTGCAAAGTACTACTGTAGATTGAATTCATTGGAGAAAACAATATAAAGGACATTTCTCACAAGATCACTTAAGCCTCACCTCCATCAAAGATAAAACCCAATTTTTCAACCTGGTCAAATAATTACAATTGCTCAACCTTTTGCAATGGCGCTGGCCGATGTAAGGCAGGGAGCCACTTACCAGCACCACAGGCACCACCTACTAGGTGTTTTTCTCTTTCTTTCTTTTTTTTTTTTTTCCTTTTTCCCAGCAAAAATAGGCAAAAAAATTTTTAAAAAATTTTTAAAAAATTTTTAAAAAATTTTTAAAAAATTTTAAAAGAATTAAAAAATGTAGGAAAATTACTAAAATAATGAAAAATGAAAAATGAAAAACAAATTGAATATTTTTCTTAGTCATGCTGATAAATAAAAAGCAAATCATTCTGGTTTCATTTAAAATTTGCAGAAAATTGGAGGGCAAAGGCTATAGGTAACTCATAGTTGGGGCAGACAAATTCAAATTGACATATTATCCTCACTTTCAGAGCAGACTGAGATAGAAGAGAGAAGTTCAAATTGAGATTTTTATCTCAACACCAATTAGAGATTTTCCAATTTTCTGTAATTATTGTAAGATTTCTTAAATCTCCATGCTGACCCTAATTTCTGCCTCCCTTTTAGCCAAACAACAACTTTCCAGATCTAACCACCAGTAACCACAATGACCTCCTAGGCTCCTGTTTTACCCATCTCCATTACCCAGCACACTGAAGGTAAGAAGAAAGAGAAATAGAGTGAAGAAAGAGAAGACCAAGCCAAAAGTAAAGGCAGAGGAGGAAGTTTAGAAGAAAATGAAACGGTGATATGATCAGGTAGGCTTTCCTTTCTGCTTTTATTTTCATTTTCTGAGATTCTAAACGGAATGATGTTCTTTGGCTTCAATGAAACCAAAAGAATTATTTTTTAAGAAGAAAAACATTGCCCAGGGGCTTTGCCGCCTCAAGCTAAGGTGGGCAGTGGATTACCGCCCAGCACCTAAGTGGTTCATAGGGCCTAGATGCCACCTTTAACAACACTACTTATCGGAAGGGAGGAAGGGCGAACCAAATACTTTGAAGGTGAAATGCATTTCCATGTCAAAAGGTAACTAACATATGAAAAATAATATGAGGGACTATGAAGCTGCATAAACTTTCAGAGAGGCTTTACATCTGCATGCTACAAATAAAATGCTATGTCATGTTATTACCTGGATCAGGAGGTTTGCTGCTACTGCCAGGATTGGGTAAGGTATTCTGAGACTTTGTCTCCATTGTAAGCATCTTCAAGGATATTCTCCTCAGGTAGTCCGACTTAAAAGAAAGGTCAACAAAAACTTCGGATCAAATGGCTTTTATGTCTTCAGAAAAGAAACTAAATTAAAAGAATGTGTTTCATGCTTAACAAATGATATCCTTTTCACTTTCTTCATTTATCTTCCATTTGTTTACTCTTTGGAGTTCTTTAGGTAATTGGACATAAGACTTGAGTTAGGATAATAGGATCTATAGAAAAAATAAAAGAAGAACAGAAGAAATGCACATAATGACCAGTAAATATGCACACATACTCCAAAAAAATCACATACATTCTTGACACTCATCCAATAAGAAAAATGTACAATTGCCTATTACCTGGCTAGTTGCAGCAGTATAAATCTTTTCCTCAAACCTTATAGCAATTTTCTTCAGCTCATTTAATCCCTCATCGCCAGAACATGGAAGATGCCGCCTCAATGTCTCCATTCTGCATATATAATACATGATATTAGTAAAAAAATATCTTTTCTTAGCTGATCAAAAAAGAAAACAATACGTTAAACTAGTGATTTTCTAACAACACATATTTGAAAAGTTCAATAGGAAGATGCCTTAAAAGGTATCATGATATTGAGAATGCAAAAGTATAAAGAAAAAAGGTACTTAAATGTTTGCACAAATCCAATCAAATTTAACCAACAACTTTTCCCTCAAAACCAGCTCAGAATGTCTACACCTCAGCCCTCAGAGGCATAAGTGTGGGGAAATTAATAAATATTCTCTCAACGTAGAAAGATTAGATATCATGACATGCACAAATCATTTCCAACTAATATGGCTAACATTTCACAGGGAAAAGATGATCTTCTAGACAAACCCAAGCATTTTAAGAAGGCCAATTACGTCAGTAGGTTAATAACAGTTTTCAGATAATCCAGTCTCTCCCCCCAACACACACACATACACAAACAAACACAAACGGAAGAAAATTGCAGGATTTTTTTTTTTTTTGATGAACTTCAATATCTAGAGGCACAAACATTGGGACCTTGTTAGAAGTTTTCTTATTCAGGAATAAGCAAAGAACATACTAGATTTTCAGCAAATATCTTCCAAACCATGACCTACATATAGAAGAACCGATTTAAACCTAAGACCAAATCTGCCTATTGTGTAATTAAGTACCACACAATTTTACATGGCTGGTATCAAGCCCAGCTAAAGGAGTAAGGTCATGATAGGTTGACAACTACAATAAAAATCTAACACATTCCATAAAGACCAGTGCTTTAAAAGGTGGAAGGTGCATTTAAGCAAAATGC